AAAAGGCAAATGAAAACTGGGAAAACTATTTGTAAGGTATCACAGATTTGGAAGATATTTGCAAAGGATTAATATTTTAATATACAAAGAACTTGTAAAAATTTAAACGACACCAACAATACAATAGAAAAACAGATGAGACACATGAAATAGAAATGGCAGCAAAAAGAATACAAATAAACTACAAAGACATCAGAAAACATCCCTCAAACCTGCTCGTAAGAGGGAAACAAATTATAATTACACACATTTCTTACCTGCCAGACTAACAAATAACCAAGTCTGACAAGAAATGCTATTGGTGAGGCCACAGGGAAACAGGCACTCTCCTACGCTGCTGGAGGGAATGATCAATGGAACAACTCCCGTGCAAGGGGACTGGGTATAAGCAGCAAAATGACATGTGACCCAGTAACCACACTGCTACAATTACACTTCAAAAACACACTACCACATAAAATAGTGTGTGACACAAGGTTATTCATTACAGCACAGTTTGTCATTTTATTTTTTGTAAAGATGAGTTCTCACTATGTTGTCCAGGCTGGTCTCAAACTCCCAGCCTCAAGTGATCCTCCTGCCTTGGTCTCCCAAAGCACTGGGATTACCGGCATGAGTAACCACCACACCTGGCCCAGTTCATTTTTTAATAACAGTTTTACTGAGACATAATCACAAACCATAAAATTCACACCTTTAAAGTGTGCAATTTGGTGGTTTTCAGTCTATTCACAGAGTTATATAATCATTAGAAAGACCAAATTTTCAAACGTTTTCTCACCCCTAAAAGAAACTCCAAACCCACTGGCAGTCACTCCTTATTTTTCCCTACTCCCAGTCCTTGGCAACTATCCATCTACTTCCTGTCGCTCTGGATCTGCCTATTCTGGACATTTCCTATACACAGAGTCCTAGAATCTGAATGCTACGCAGCCTTTTGAACCTGGCTTCTTTCACTCAAGGTTCCTCCCTGTTGCAGCCTGTCAGTGCTTCATTCCTTTTCATGGCTGGGTAATGTGAACAGGGCATTGTAGGGATATGCCACACTGTATTTTTCCGTTCACCCAGTAATGGACGTTTGTGTTGTTTCCACCTTTAGGTTTTCATGATAATGCTGCTATGAATGCGCATGTACATGTTTTCGAGTGGATGTAAGTATTCATTGTTCTTGGGTATATACCTAGGGGTCAAACTTCTAGATCATATGACAATTACAAACATTTGAGGAACAGCCAGACTGTTTTCACAGTGTTTGCAGAATTTTACATTTTCACCCAGCCACTTATGAGGGTTCCAGCATCTCCACAATCTCATAAACACTTGCTATTGTCTCTTTTTTATTAGGCATTCCAGTGTAAGTGAAGTGGTGTATCGCTGTGGTTTTGATGCACATTTCTGATGACTAATGATATTGGGTGCAGCACAACTTACTACGAAACAAGTCAAGTCTCCACCGACAGGGGCTGCTGAAATGAACGATGGTACGAACACAGTAGACTGCTACAGGGCTGTGAATATGAGTGGAGAAGATTGCTGATGGACTCCTGTGGGAGGATCGCCAGGATGTAACCACAGTATAACATGTTAACAGACTTATATGAGAATCTTATGTGTAATAAAGGATATTTTAAAATACTCTGAACAAGAAAACAATGAAGAGTTAAACCAAAAACAAACAATGGTTACCCACAGGGTAAAGAGAAGAATGGGGTGGAGGAAACACGAATGGAGACTCTAGGACTGTGCCTTGTATAAATTTTGACTGGAATCTGCTGTGTTTTATGTAATTTTTAAAAATTAAAGTTATAAAAACTGAAAACACACAAATTAATGAAATATAAAACAATGTTATTTTTCAGAATTCAACAGTATTTTGATGTTACATCCCTAGTGAGATATACATAAGCTAAGATGGTACAGAAGCACACAGACGCCTGAAACTGCATTCGGTCCTCTGAACATTAACTATTCCAAACTCCAGGTCCCAGTGAAAGAAAACAGATCTCCAGTTGATTCTAATGCACAGACTTACTAGGAATCTATTTATGATCCTTACTTTTACAAAGGACAGGAAGAAGAGAATAAATTAGTTCGTAATCCTCGAATTTCTATGATCTTTTTCCAGGCACTGAAGGTGTGATGGGAAATGAAGTACTATTTAGTAGATATCTGGTATATACTGACATATACTGATATACCTGCCGTATGCCTGGCAATCTGAAATGCTAGAGTAAATATTATTGGCTCCCTTTTACAGATAAATAAGTGAGGCTCAGAAGTCCCCCTCCCTGTGGTCACTTACCTAATAAGGGCTACTCAAGGCGAGGTCTGGAGACCACTGTCAGTTTGTATGAACAGACACTGAGGGGAGGAGCTGAGAAACTGACAATATTATAGCCATGTGATGTCGGCTGAGTCTTAAGATAAAATTTGGGCTTGAATTCTTATGTCTTTTTTTAGATTTATTTTTCAAGTAGTTCATTTTATACTATACTCTACACAAATATAGGTTTGGGATGGTTTGAGGGAGAGAGAACTGGATCTGCACGACAGATAGGTTAAGAAGCACTGGGATGGACGGTTAGCCCACTATACAGCGTGGGTCTTGGAGGGGGATCATGTGTTTGAGAAGCACAGAGGAGAGTTTTATGGCCAAGCCAGTCATGATCCCACCTGAGACTGTATCCAAAGTTCCCACGGAAGTCCTCACACCCCCACTTCTCCTCTGATAACCTGCCCCACATCTACCAGCAGGATGGGGTATGCACAGTGAAGTCTGCAAGTGGGAAAGGAAAGATGCCAAATGCCTTTGCCGTGTGCCGATACTGAGGTGAAGATAAGGAGAGATCCAGAAAAGAAGTAAGAGCCCTGTGAGTGGCACTGAGAGGAAAGGATCCAGCTGATCCTCACCAGCTCTCCACAAATGTGTGATCCAAACCCTTCTGCAACATGGGTGCATCTCCACGCCAGACTGAGGTTGGTTTTCACGCTCATGGTTTGTTCTACTAGAAGAACATACAGCATGGGGCTCACAGAGAAGGCCTCCCTAAAGAAGTGACATTTAGTTTAAGTTGAGAAGAATGAACAGGAATTAAATAAGACAAAGGGGACTGTGGGAGTGTTCTGGGCAGGGGGAGGAGCATGCGCAAAAGCTGGAAGATGAGATGAAAGATGCAGTTCATGGAACTGGGAGGCAGTGTAGCATACGGATTAAGAGTAACCACTGTGGAGCCAGGATGCTGGGGTCAAAGCCTGGCTACGAGCCCTGCTGGACTTGGCCAAGTCATGGAACCCTAAGACTTGGTTCCCTCCTCTGCAAAATGAGGATGACAGCGCCTACTTCAAATAGTGATTGTGAATGTGTTTAGCACTTAGTAAGTGCTCAGTAAAGAGCACTGGGAGTGATGGCAGTAGTTGGCAACATTCGCAGTGTTAAATGCAAATTGTTCATTTAGGAGCAAGGAGTTGTGCAGTACCTCCTAAATACGTGACGAAATTGAATAATAACTTCAACAGAGCTGAATTTATACTTCCTCTCTGCATTAGGCAAAATTTCAAATTTATTTTCAAAACCAGTTTTTTTTGATAAGTGAGAAATAAAAGTATTCAGAACTTATTATTCAATCTATAGAAAAACCTCAATTTCTACAAAAAAGAAAGTAGAACTTTGAGATATGCTAAATGGGTAAGATGTTCTTTGAAACAAATGAAATCACACACTAAAAACTGAAATTTAAGCAGGCAAGAAAGGTGAACTAAAGAGTTCTTTAAAACCATGGTTACGCTGGAGTTGTGGGTGAACTGAGGGTATGCGTTCCCGGATAAATATTTCTTATTCATACAGCTGCATTAGGAAAGGATACAAGGGAACATTTATAGAAATTCATTAAATGTTTACAACATAAATGACCTATTCTAGATGAGGATGATAGTGGCATTATGACAAATACACAATTATATACTTAAGAATGAACACAGATTAAGGTCACTGGGAACAGCAGACACCAATGCAACACCTTCAGGAAGGGTGACTGACAATACAATTCTGTTACTACAAAGCCCAAGTTTACTGCTGTAACTACAAGTGTCAAGGTCATGTTAGGGGCAGGAGAGAAACAATTAAGTTTTCTTCTGTCAGCACTTCATTAAACAAGAAAGTTGTTTGTTTCTTTACTAACATGTTGGGAGTTGATTGCAGACCTATAATTAATGAGT